AAAAAAAAAAAAAAAAAGTTTTATAACTAATGATGCCGTTCAAAATCCATGACTGTATCGTGGGATTTCGGAGTATCGTTAATATCTCGTAAAAAATACGCATCGTCCTCAGTAGGTAAGTCTTTGCCGCAGGGTACGTCACTGATATCAATGCCTAAGCTTGGGGCAATCCGTCGTACAATACTATTGCATTGGCGGAAGGCACGTCGGGCGGCGGGGTACTTGTAGGCCATGTGATGGAGCCAGCGCAGAGACTTTTTGGTCTCTCGTGCCGTGGCTTCAACATCAGCGGCGAGTTGCTGCATAGGGTCGTCGTCAGATCTGGAGGGGAGGCTGGATAGATGGAGAAGGATGGCTGTTGTTGCTTGCATGATGTAATGCAGAATGCACCACCAAGGGGTCATAGTAGTCAGCCAAGCGATGTCCGGTTTGGGGGGGAGACAGCAGAGAAGGGACCGAGCTGAGCGGACACATGTCAATGCCATGGAAGTGTTGAAGTGCACGCGACTGCTGGAGTTGCGACGCGAGCCTTGTCGTGCAGACGGCGGAACTGCTGGGTCCGGGGATGTGACGCCCGGCCCGAGTCCAGTATGTGTGAGGCACGGACGGCAAAGGGTGATACGGGCACTGTAGTAACTCATGGCTAGGGATATGCGTTCTCGCATCCACGGAGCGCTACGCTCCTTGGGTAGGTCCAGCTGGTCGCCGCCCCCGGAGGTAAAACGATAGGCTTCGGGAACCTTGCTGAGCCACATATCTAGAATGCTGCTGAATCTGCGGATTCGCTGCTCTACTTGGCTGGAGCGCTCTCGGAGGCCTTGGATACTGTATACCTTGTTGATGATGGACTGGGTGATGGTGGCTAGATCCACAATGCAGTGGAAGTATAGCGATGGGCTGGGCTCGCAGGACGGAAGCCAGCTTACATCGGCGCGTGATTCCTCTTCCGACTGCAGCAGAGTCAGCTTCAAACGAGTCATGCGCAGGGAGGAGTCTTGGAGAAGAGGAAGGACGTCTGGTCTACCGAACGCCTCCTCTTCGTACGGAAGCGGCAGTGGCGTGGCGCTCAGGTTTTCGCCCACGCAAGAGACCCGTCCGGTGATGGCAGTGAGGAGATGCTCCAGGAGAAATATCGACCACCACAGTCGAATGCGAGCCTCTTTGGCGGGATACTGTGTGCGATCGTCGACGAAGCGCAAGTTGATTCCGAGGGATACAGCAGATCGGTAGGCCATACTGGAGAACTTGAATGCCCTGCAGTAGAACTAATTTCAGCAAGTGATTAACAAACTCTCCTACCTGGGCCACACTTACCTATTGATTTGACACATGCTGACTAAATATAGGGCCACCAAAAATTCGACCTGGATTTGCTGAAGATCCGCATGCTCAAAGATGACCTTCTCGCTGAGAGTCAGTTTGCGTGCCCGGTTCAAATACACCAGATCATCATAATCGCGGCCGTCTGTTCGGCCACTCGTCGCTTTGGTAAACCGACATCCAATTGCGAATATCATGTTCAGAATGGCCAACCAACGCTGCGGAGGCTGGGCCGGCTGGCTGAAGAACTGTCGATACTGGGACACAAAGGCCGTCTTCCGGACGACATTGAATGACGGATGGACCGAGTCCATAAACGCAGTGAAAAAGTGATTGGCTATGTCCTTCGGGGGCAGTGCGTAGGGATCAACTGAGTCGAGCAAAGGAACACCGATATCATCGAGGTAATAACTCAATGCGGCCATCGCTGTCTCCTGCTTTTGCTGCGATGACGTTGCGTGCCCACCTCCCACCCCGTCCTCCATATCGACCGAATCCTCCATCCTCCGATTTCGATTCTCAGCTTCATCTTCGAGTCTCTGCATCCAAGCAACTTCCGAATTCTTCCCATAAAAGCCAGTAGCCACCGTTTTCTCGCTGCGGTTCAAGTCTTCTTCGACTAAGTCGAGTGCCTCTAGCGAACCGATGGACGAGGTCCCAGAGTCGGAGTCGCCGTCATCGTCGGGAGGAGATGTTATATCGGCGCCCTTTTCGATCGCCCATTACAGTTAGATAGAATCCTACATCGCGCGACCGCATATGACAAGGAAAGACTTAAGGAATACTGGCAATGTATAGGCCAAACAGGTAGGCACCGCGACTTACCCTAAGAACTTTACGAATGCGTCTAGCCGCATTCTCATCGACTTCCTTCTCCAGATCTTGCAGCAGATGCTCATATTGTTCCACCTTCTTGCCCAGAATCCCGAGCTGTTTCTGATCGCGGACCCGCTTGACGTCTACGAAGAAGCAGCTGACATTGTGATCGATGCACTGTCGACACACTGGCTTGTTCCCATCACACTTGATCTTCCGCTGTCGACATGGCTCGCAGGCTCTCGCCGACCGCCGGCGTTGCGACTGGCTACTTGCGCTGGTCGTGCGGGGAATAGCGACTTTGGCGGCAGAGCCCGAGACTTCACGGGATGATGACGATGACGATTGATAGGGGTAAGGGCCCGGTCGGTCCATGAACTGGGGCAGGGAATAGGGGCGAAAGGCCACAGGGGGTAGCCCCGGGCTCATCGAACCCCATGACCACTCATTGATGCCCCTCGCGGCAGGATTCTCGGGATCAATTTGGAGGGGAGTATCGTCGACGTTGGCGACGCCGAAGGGATATGATCCAGGCGCGTCTTCCATCGCGAATCAGAGGCGAAAACAAAAGCGCGATCCATCAGGGAGATGCAGAGGAACAGAAGTCGCAGAGAAGTTGGTTCAGCAGCCAGAAAATCAGGGCAAAGGTCGCGAGTCACCTGTTGTGACGTCATTGACCTGAAAGCTTGTCCTCTTCGATTGCTGCACGATAAAGGTAAACGTAAAGTTGAAACCACTGAGTAACAAACTTTCCACGGACCAAAGTTAGGGGAAAGCGGGAGTTCATGCGATAAGTCAACTCTCGTTGATGTACTATAGGAAATTATTTGCTCGCAACACAGCGTATGCCCGAGCGTCTCTCTCCCGCGGAAATCATAGCTGGTCCACGGAAGCCCAAAAAAAAAGAAAAGCGTAAAATGGAAAAAGTAAGATGTCGCGGTACGCCTCGTAATTGCCATGTGAAAGGAACAAAATCAATCTCCGAATTCGAGCTGGGGATGTGAGCAGCCACCCCCATCAACAGCGCAGCCGCTCAGGCGCAATTTCATCTTTGCCCAAGCTCAGACTCTCATATCGATCGAGCATGTCGAAAAGACTGAACTCCCCATCCCAGACTCCGCGGTAGCGTTCGTCCATCTCCAGCTTTTGTAATCCTGCGGCATACTCATCCCACCGGGATGCCGATGTCGATTCTTCGTCAAACATCGCCTTGAGATCATCCGAGACCGCATTCGATTCTCGCAGTCTCCTGCCTTGTCCCTTGGCATGAACAGCCTGCCGGAAGATGTGGAGAAGAGACCGTCCCAACGGCGACCGACTGGCAATGTTGGAGAAAGAGCTGGCGAGCGCAAGAAAGTCAAAGTCTAAGACATCGAACGTCCCAGACTCCAGCAACGTGAAGAGTGCCAGGTTGATTGCATACATGGC